ACATTTTCATTAGTCTAGAGAAAAACCCCTGTACCCATTAGTAGTCACTCTTCACTTCCCACTAACCCAAATTATATTTTACAAACTTATTCTGGGAATGCTTTAGCACCTCTTTATTTATTTATTTACTTATTTCTGTTTATTTATTTATGAGACAGGGTCTTGCACTGTTTTCCAGGCTGGAGTGGCCCTAATATAGCTCACTGTAGCCTCGATCTCCTGGGCTCAAGTGATCTTCCCACCTCAGTCTCCTAAGTAGCTAAGACTACGGGTACGTGTAACTACACCTGGCTATTTTTTTTTTTTAATTGTAGAGATGGGGTTTCACCTTCTTGCCCAGGCTGGTCTCCAGCTGCTAGGCTCAAGCAATTCTCCCACCTCAGCCTCTCGAAGTGCTGGGATTACAGGTGTGAGCCACTATGCCAGGTGTGCACTCTTTACTGACCAGCCCTCCAGGAAGCCAGCTCACCAGCCCTCTGCTGAATCAGCTCTTCCTCATCCCACTCAATCAAGATTCCACACCTCTATAGCATAAGCAAACTCCCTCTGGTTAAGGTCAACAAAGACCTCAATGTCACCAAACCCAATGGACATTTCCTAGTCGCTATTTCACTTGCTCTCAGGAACACTTGATATAAATGGTATCTCATATTTCTCAAAAAGAGGCTTTTCCTCGGCTTCCTTGTCACCACATTCTCCCGGTTTTCTTTGCTCTCTGGATGTGTCTTTGCAGCCTCATCTGCTATGTTTTCCCACTTCACCTAAACCATAGTGTTTGGTTTTCCCCTGGACCTCCTCTCACTCTCTAATCTTTCCAGACCTTCTCGGTTGCTTTTCTGTGGCTTCCCTTATTATTACATGCTGGCTATTCTCAAATTTGTGTCTCCAGTCCATGCCTCTTTTCTGAGTTCCAGACCAGTATCATAAGCTGCTCACTTGTCGTCTCCATTTATATATCTCACATCTTAAATGCATCAAGTTTAAAACTCATCATTTGCCCCACAAAAGCTGCTGTTGTCTCAGCACTTTCTGTCTTGGTAAAGGGCATCACCATCCACCAAAGAGCTCAAACAAACAAAAAAAAGAAATGTAAGAGTCATCTTAGGCTTCATCCTCATATCCCAACTGATTTACAAATCCTGCAATAAACAGCCTCATGCAAAATTAAAAAAAGAAAAATCTTTCCATTCCTGAGACATACGTTTGTTAAGAAGGTAACATGGTGATTCTTTTCATTTTTTATTGTCTTTTGAGACAGTCTGACTCTGTTGCCTAGCCTGGAGTGCAGTGAAACAAAATCTCAAGTCACTACAAACTCCCCTTCCCAGGTAAAAGTGACTTTCGTGCCTCAGGCTCCCAAGTAGCTGGGATTACAGGCATGTGCTACCATGCCTGGCCATTTTTTTGTATTTTTAGTATAGACAGGGTTTCACTATGTTGGCCAGGTTGGTCTTGAACTCCTGGCCTGAAGTAATGTGCCTGCCTTGGTCTCTAAAAGTGCTGCGATTACAGCCATGAGCCACTGCACCCAGACCATGGTGATTCTTAGACAAACAGCCATTGGCACAAAGTGGGAATTCAATAAAAATTTGTTGGTTGAGTAAATGACTTAAGATATATTCAGAGTTGAGTTATATGAGGAGATAAGTACTGCAGATACACATTTTTCCTAACTTAATCAGTATGTTTTATCAAATCAAAGAAATACCTGTAAAAATTGATTTACACTGCCTTAGAGAAAACAACTGACAAGCACACACTTACTATTGTCCATTTCTCTCTCGAAGCACTCAGTGCCATTATTTTTGAAACGTGATGAACCCCAAATTCTGTCACCTTTCATACATGGTAAGAACAAAAGGTGCAGTTAAAAAACAAAACAAAACAAAACAAAAATCACCTTTCTGTGAAAAGAATATTACTACTTTTTAAAAGATAGAAATTAAGATGAATAATTTGCTTTCTCATACGTTGACAACGAATAGATTGAAAACTTCAGATCATCCATTATCAATTATATTATTTATTTACCTGGAGATATTTAAGTGGTATAATAAAATTATTAATTTCAGACTGTTTAAACTGAGTCACAATAGTAACCGCTAATTCAGAACGACTCACTCAATAGCCTTCCATACAGAGGCTTATGAGGGAACTGCGGGACTTACATCAGACAACGGTGCAGACACAACTGCACGCTTTGTTTGGAGCATTTTGACTTGATCCATGTACACAGGCCAAAAAGCCCGCAATATCATTTGAGATCTGCAGAAAATTGTATTTAGACATATCCCATAATGTCCAAATATTTGCATCATGAAGTAGGAAGTAGGTGGGATATTCACCCAAACTTGCTTACAGATGGCTACACATTTGAATCTAGTCATTCAGTGTTACCAATGGATAGGACACCCACGCTTCTGAATTAGCTCTGTGATTGTCTATAAAAACTGCTGGTTTGAATTTTGACTGCATCCCAGCAAACCAATCCATTTGCTATTGCCTTCTGGGCAAAATGCCTAGGCTTTGTAAATTGGAAAATGAGCTCCTTATTGAAGAAGAAAAATATAAGCCCCAGCACAATAACTTTCGATTGGTGGTCTCCTTTGGGTTCGTACCTTTAAAAGTAGCTTTAAAAGAGTCTATTTTCCACAGCAATGATGTTGAGCCCTTGGATTTTAGGAGCATTTTGATTTGGGGGAAACTTCTGTATGGTGACAATATCTTTTTTATTTTGGTTTTATATTTTTTAAAAATTTAATTTTTATAGGTACATAGTTGGAAAATATATTTATGGGGTACACAGACTATTTTGATATAGGCATATAACGGTGTAATAATCACATCAGGGTAAATGGGGTATCTACCACCTGAAGTGTTTATCCTTTGTGTTACAAACAATCCAATTATATTCTTAATTATTTTAAAGTGTACAATTCTAGTCTTCCTGTTTTGCTACAACTACTATCAACTACTAGATCTTATTCATTCTATCTAGCTATATACTTTTTTATTCATTAACCAACCCCCCCTCCCCCACCCTTCCCAGCTTCTGGTAACCATGATTCTACCGTCTACCTGTATCTCCACTAGTTTGTTTTAAATGTTAGCTCCCATGAAAAACTGAGAACATGTGAAATTTGTGTTTCTGTGCCTGGCTTATTTCACTTAACATAATGACCTCCAGTTCCATCTATGTTGTTGCAAATGCCAGGATCTCATTCTTTTTTATGGCTGACCTAACAGTTTCTTTATCCATTCATCTGTTGATGGACACTTAGGTTGATTCCAAATCCTGGCTATTGTGAATAGTGGTGCAATAAACATAGGAGTGTAGGTATCTCTTTGATATACTGATTTCCTTTATTGGGGGGGGGTATAAATCTAGCAGTGGGATTGCTGGGTCATACAGTATCTCTATTTTTAGTTTTATGAGGAACTTATTCCATACTGTTCTCCATAGTGGTTTTACTAATTCACATTGCCACAAACAGTGTACAGTGTTCCTTTTTTTCGACGTCCTTGTCAGCCTTTGTTACTGCCTGAGCACCTTTTCATATACCTGTTTGCTATTTGTAGGTCTTCTTTTGAGAAATGTCTATTCAGATCTTTTGCCCATTTATTACTCGGGTTATTAGATTTTGTCCCTTTAGAGTTGTTGGAACTCCTCATATACTCTGGTTATTAATCCCTTGTCAGATGGATCGTTCCCATTCTGGGGTTTGTCTCTTCACTTTGTTGATTGTTTCCTTTGCTGTGCAGAAAATTTTTAGCTTGATATGATCCCATTTGTCCATTCTTTTCTTTGGTTGCCTGTGCTGTGACATCTTAAGGTTGTGAGTTTGGGGGCTGCCTGCCGTGCGTATTCTTTGCTATTACCATTATCTTTAATAACCACAGACAAATGACGTTGACTCACATGACACCTGTACTAGAAACCCAAATTCCCCTCATTATTTTTGTTGATTATGTGGAAGCACCCATAAACCAGTGCAAATCCTAAACATAATTACCTTGTCCAGAAGTAAACATTAATGTAAAACATTTACGTCAATAAAGATTTGGCCAAATTCCCTCGGACTGGTCATTCCTAGTTAGATTCCCTGAGGGTGCCATCATTTACTTTGAAAACTGCCCAGAGATGTATAAATAGTCAACTCCAGGACAATGTAGAACCGTGACCATTTTAAAGACAGCAATCCCTCTTTAAAAACAGAACTACTGAGGCCTTCGATGAAACCACGCATGGCTGCTGTGCACCCCAAAAGCTGCGGAAAAGCGCAGTATTCAGTTAAGCAAATAACAACTTTCACTGTTTATTTTGGTGGCGGTTCCTTATCCTTAAATGAGAAGCAGATCAATTAACAGGACAAATGACACTATGGTTAGGCACGAAAGGGAGAGTACTGCCAGCCTCATTAGCTTGGAGCACCCTTCCAGCTCACATCATGTGGACTGATGACTAACCTTGCCAGGCAACGCTGTGAGGTTTGGAAACCCACCTCTTTGACCTAGGCCCCGTCAACACCCTCTGAATCAACGCTGGCGCTCCCAAGCCCACTCACACGCGGTCAGGAAGCAGTTTCCGAAACAGGCCGGGTGCGGGGGTGGGGGATCCCGTTCCAGCCCCACCCCTGAAAGTTGCTGGGAGTGGCACCCGAAGAACTTTCCCAGATTGTTCTCTGTCACCGCTCGGGGAGGTCAGCTCCAGGCCCTCTCAGCCTTTCCGCCCGGAGCCAATCTGCCCTGCCTGCCAAGCCCCTCCTTCCCTGCACCTTAAACAGCCGCGAGGGGAGGGTCGGCTGCGATTTTCTTCTTAAGAAGTCGCGCAGGTTTTTCGAGCTCCACTCTGCGCCAGGAGAGCCACGGCAGCAGGAACGGGCGCTGCTGCCACCGGGCCGACGGGTGAGTCACTGTTTGGAAATGGAGTGGGCGGGCGAGGCTGTGAGAGAATGAATGATGTCAAGAGCGCGCTGGGCGCAGGGCGCAGGGCGCAGGGAGCCGGCCGCGCGCGGCGGGCGGGGAGAGCGGGCGCCGGGCCGCGGTCAACACCGAGCGCCGCGCCGCGGGCGGAGTGGGGCGGGGAGACCCCGCCCTCGGCGCGCACGGAGCCGCCCTCTGCCGCTCGGAGCCCGGCCCGTGCTGCAGCGCCGCCGAGTGCGGCCTCGGGGGCGGCGGCCGCGGGAGGGACCGGAGACCTGCTTCCCCTGTCGGGGCTGCGGCGTGGGAGGCCGAGACCCCGCGCAAACTTTCTAACGGCTTCGGCCCGGTGGTGGTGACGCCCGCAGCTGGCCGTGGCGGCTGCGGCAGCGGGCTCCGTCCCCTGGCAGATCCCTTTCCTGGGAGCAAGTGCCTTCAGCTGGGAGTGTCTGGAGCCCCAGCCGCCAGCGGGTAAGGAGCGCGCGGAGGGGCCGGGAGGAGCATGGGCTGGGGAGCTGCGAGTCCTCTGAAGCGCGGGAGGGGGAAGGTGGATTGCGAAGCCGGTACGTGGCTTGAATCCGGCCCCCACCCTCCCCGCCCAGGGCATCCTTCCTCGATTTTGTCTGCTGGAGGAGGGATGTGTGCCTTAGTCTCCTAGCTCGAGCAGTCAGCTCATTCATTTGTAACCTGTGTCGGGCACCTGGGTACTGGCGTTGAAAGGGCACAGATTAAACCACAAATTGTCCAGAGCCACTCTGGAGGTCAGGGCTGAAGTTCAGGTGGTGGAGGAGGGACTGTGTGTGTGTTTGTGTGTGTGGTTTGTTTTTCTTTTTCTTTTTTTTTCTTTTTCCGAGAGGCACCTACTGATGATGTGTGAACAGTAACAGCTCAGCTCTGGGCAACCCACACGGAAACCCTTCAACGTGTGGCATTCCAGAGCTGCTCCCCTTACAGAAGGGGAGACTTGGTTTCTCAGCGAAAATAAGGGGCAATGAACCACTGTCAACATCCATCCAGCGGTATGGATAATCATTAATTATCCGAAGCTTGAAACCAACTCACAATATTATGTCCTGTAGTCTTTTTATTTATTAGTGCTGCCATTCCTCTGCTTCAAGTCTTGCCTGCTCTATAAAATGACCTTAAAATCATTTTGACACGTGCGTTATGTTTTGAGGCGATTCAGCTGTTCAGTGTCACTGGATTCGGCGTGGATTTTGAATCTGTACCTAACTTTTCAAATCCTTGGTTTCATTCCCAGTTTCCTCTATTAACGGTGGGTGCTCAGGCACATTAAACATTCTGAACCAGTAAAATGGGATTATAACTACTTCAGATAATAAGGTGGATTAAATAAGGATTAATAATGAGGATAATAATGAGGATTAAAGCACAAAAGACCTCTCGTAATGCCTAATACAAAGCAGACCCCAACAAATTATAGCTGTTTATATATAAATAATAGTATGTTCCAGCTGGCTTAGTTAACAACCAATTAATTTCCACAGAATGTCCTTATAAGCCTAGGGGGCTGAGGGTTAACGTGTAAAATCCTTTGGCAAGTTCCTTAGATAGGGAAGTGATGTTTCCAGCAAGTTAAACATTTGACTGCGGATACCTGAGAAGGTTATGGTTTCTATCCTGTGTCATGGGAACTGCCATTTACTGTTTAAACAATGTCAGAGCAATGGCTGAAAGTGACAACCTGGAATTTACAGGAAGAAAGGAGGTGTAGGAAGCTAACTTTACCATTACCATTTTTTTTTTTTTAAAGAAACAGTGCAAAATTTTCTCTTTAGGCCCTTTCTTTGATCATCTAATATTCTTCACAATAGTCTGGCTGAAGTGTGCTTTTTTGTTTTCTTTCTTTCTTTCTTTCTTTTTTTTTTTTTTTTTTTTTACAAGTTAATGTTTAATTTGGTTCCTTTGGTTTCATTTTTAAATAAAGCTGGTTGACCTGTGAACCTAGAGGGAAGTGCTTGAACACCTTGAGGTGGCTACACCCTGTTATGAGTTTCTCCCCTCCAGAATCTCGTGAAAACCCTAGGAAATGTTCGGAAGAAACTTTAGCACTTGTACCCGTGTTAGTGAAGACATTTCCTTTTACCATAACTATAACAACAACTCTTAAGGTGAAAGATTTGAGAACTGTCTTACCACAGTTACAGTGTCATGAGATCATAGACATGGGAATCCAGGAGGCCCGAGGCTCTCTGAGCTGTGTTCCTTTGAGCAAGTTTACTTAAACTCTCTGGGATTTGTGTGGGACTTTAAACAAAATATAGGGGGAAAAAACAAATAATCTTAAAACTATTAAAATAGACAATGGAATACCAGTGAGAACTTTTTTTGAAGTGATACTTTGAGGTGAGATGTTCCTTTTTTAAAGGAATAATTACTGAGAGTTTTGGACAGTTTTAGACTAAATGAGGATTTGCTCACCTTTAGCTCATTGTTTCAATGGGGAAAGTGAAGACGTTGTGTTGAACTACTAGTACCAGATATTTATTTGTATTTATTTGCGGAACCTTTAACATGCAACAACTCATAACAGCCACCATGCTAGGTGCTAGCAATGCAAATGAAGGAGATACACCCCCCCACCCCTCCCCACCCCCCGGCCCCCCCTCGAGACTTACAGTCCAATAGAGACCTCTGGCTGTGATTATTAAGAGGGGAAAAAGATTGCTGAGAACTTGGGAAGAAGAGATGAGAAGTGATTAGGCTGCCTCTCACTGATACTGGGAGATCTGGTGGCATTCTGAATGATCTTGAATAGGGGCTGATAAATTTTTTATGAGGCTGAATAATAAAAGTATTCCTTGCTTTATCCAATAAAATATGGACAATTGTAGCTCTTCAGTTTAAATAATTTTACATATTCAAAGCAAGCCTCCTTAAATGAAATCTCAAGGGCCAGTTCACCTCAACTAAGATATATTTGCTGTGTGGCCAGGCACAGTGGCTCACACCTGTAATCCCAGCACTTTGGGAGGCCAAGGCAGGCAGATCAGTTGAGGTCAGACGTTCAAGACCAGCCTGGCCAACATGGGGAAACTCTGTTTCTACTAAAAATACAAAAATTAGCTGGGCATTATGGCGTGTGCTTGTAGTCCCAGCTACTCGGGAGGCTGAGGCAAGAGAATCGCTGGAACCCAGGAGGCGGAGGTTGCAGGGAGATGCACCACTACACTCCAGCCTGGGTGAAAGAGCGAGACTCTGCCTAAAAAAAAAAAAAAAAAAAAAAAAAAAAAAAAAAAAAAAAAAAAAAAAGATTTGCTGTGTACAAAGCACTATGGTAGATTTTTAAGAGGATTGTCAGTGTATGAGCATTCCAATTTATTAGTTTTTCCCATATTATAAGTAATGTGTTACGGAAATTTAAAAGTATAGGTAAAACAAATCTGCCATAATCTTACCACCTAGAAAATCATTTAACATTTATATCTGCCCCCTCCCCTTTATTTTTTGCCCCTACACAACAGATAACACAAAGAGCTGACAAGTATTGTTCTCACTACGTGCCAGGCAACCTGACAGTTGCTTTATACATCAAATTTCTTGTAATCCACACTCCACAGTGAAGTAGATACTCTTATTACCTTCTTTTACTGAGGCTAAAACTGTTTAGGGAAATTAAGTAACTTTTCTGAAGTTGGCAAAGCTAACATCTCTACAAAAATGGGTTCATTCTCTATATTCCAGCTTACTTTTTCTCTCATCCGAATATGGACAGCTGTACGTCACTAACATAGTCTTATACAGCATCATTTTTAGCTTTCTGTTACGTGGCTGTGTCTCAACCAAACGCCTCTTGCTGAACACTTAGTTTTTCAATATATTAAGCAGGTCTGCCTTAAATCGTTCTAGCTATATCTGTGTACACATTCACGAGTATTTCAGTTATTTGCATTTTAAAAGGTGAAACATAATGTTTAATTTAGCTGCTTTTTTTCCTAAACTGTATTCAGAACTTGAGAGCTTTTCCCTGTCTCTTTAACTTAAAATGTAAGAGTCTTAATTTCTGCGTTCCTTTAGTGTGTCTCATAAGATTCAGCTGTAGGATCAACCTGCTTTGTGGAGCCACACAGTGGAGCAGTAGCTCATTATGCAAGGGATTTATCTCTTGAAAAGGGAACATACAAACTTTCTTAAAGTATTGTTTGTGTTTGTTATTTTTATTAGCCATGCAGCTAAATGTCTTGTGGGGAAATATAGCAGAATGGAGTGGTGCTAATTTTGCTGGGGAACTCTCTGAAGGACATTCTACTTCTACAGTTTGAGGAAGTGTTAGAACCCAGTGAGATAGATGAATTAAATACTGTCAGGTGTTGCATTAGCAGATTTATCACTAGCTTTAGAATAAGTTCCATCAATTTTAAATAGGGCACTTTTTTCTTTAAAAACATTGCACGTTTGTTGTTTGACATTTTGGGGCTGATTTAATGAAAGTGCAAGAAATTTTCATTAATTTTCATTCTAAATATAAAGCATTTCTTGAAACATTCCCAAGTTTTACAATAATAACACATCTTTGCTACTCTGAGTCAAAATTTTAATTTTTCCTTGAGTTTTCTATTTTGATTTCCAGTTAGCTAATTTATCTTTAAGGTTTTGCTAATGGATGTTAGAATATGAATAGTGTTCATTTCAGCCACTTCATACAGACACCCAGATCAGTTTACTTTCTTAATTTCTACAATGACTTGTAATTCAAAGCAAAGTTTAAAGAAAGAGCTAATAGAATTAAAGTCAAATTGGATAATGAGTTATTTTATAACTGGTTTTCCCTCTATTGCCAAACCCCTATACAATTTGAAATTCAGCCTTATAATTTCATGTTTATATTGATTTTATTTAAAATGATATCCCGCTTAAAGTTTTCAAACTAGGGCGTATTTTTTTTAAAGAAGCTTTAACTGAATTGCGTGTTTCCCTTATATGTACAGTTTTTTCTTCCACTATACTTCTATATACTATTTATATTATTATTCTTTAAATTAATTTTTTTAATTGAGATAGAGTCTTGCTATGCTGCCCAGGCTGATCTTGAATGCCTGGACTCAAGCATTCCACCCACCTCAGCCTTCCAAAGTACTTGGATAACAGACCTGAGCCACCCTGCTCAGCCACGCAATTCCTTTATTTTTTCTTCCAGCTTTTATTTTGGGTGTTTGTTACACGGTTTGTTACACGGGTAGATTGTGTGTCACAGGGGTTTGATGTACATGTTATTTTGTCACTCAGATAGCATAGTACCTGATAGGTAGTTTTTCAGTCTTCGCCCTCCTCCCACCCTCTACCCTCAGGGAGGTCCCAGTGTCTGTTTTTCCCTTCTTAGGGTCCATGTGTACTCAGTGTTTAGCTCCCACGTATAAGTGAGAACATGCAGTATTTGGTTTTCTGTCCTTTGATAATTCACTTAGAATAATGGCCTCCAGCTACATTCATGTTGCTGCAAAAGACATGAT